CATCCGCCGGGCGGGCGGCGCCTTCCGGCAGCAGAGCGCAGGCGCGGGGAGCCAGAAACTCACCCTGAGGGGACCCGGACACCTCAGAATTCACTCTGGGGGCACCCGGACACCTCAGAATTCACTCTAGGGGACACCCGAACACCTCAGAATTCACCCTGAAGGGACCCGAACAGCTCAGAATTCACCCTGGGGACACCCGGACACCTCAGAATTCACCCTGAGAGCAGCTGAACCGCCCGAAATTCACCCTGAGGGCACCCAAACACCTCAGAATTCACCCTGAGGGCAGCTGAACCGCCCGAAATTCACCCTGAGGGTGTCTAAAGCGCCTCAAAATTAATCCTGAGGGCACCTGAACTACCTCAGAATTCACCCTGAGGGCATCTGAACTACCCCAAAAATCACCCTGAGGGCACCTGAACTGCCCCTAAATTAACACTGGGAGCATCTGAACTATCCCAAATTAGCACTGGGGGCACCTGAATAATCCCAAAATTAACATCAGGGCACGCAAACCACCCCAAATTTACACTGGGGACGTCTGAACCTCCCAAAGTCAACACTGGGAGCAAAACTAACCATGAGGGCACTTGAACCTCCCCAAATTAACCATCAGAGCACCTGAAAAACCCCAAAAATTTACCTTGGGGGCACCTAAGCCCCCCAGAATTCCCACTGGGGGCATTGGAAAAACCCCAAAATGAACCTCAGGGGCTTTTGAACCTCACAAATTCAGAATGGGGGCACCTGAACCCAACAAAATTCACACTGGGGGCATCTGAAACCCCCAAATTAACTATGGGGTCAACTCAGCCATCCCAAAATTAACCTTGGAGGTGGCTGAATCCACCAAGTCAATCCCAAATCCCCAAAATCAAACCTTGGGGGGGCACCTGAACCCACCAAAATCAAATCTCGGGGCTCAGGGGGACATCTGAACTCCCCCTCCCCCAAAAAGAAGGGGAGGGAGTTCAGCACATAAAATCAGGCTGTTAAAATAACCAGTCACAAAACTTCCTTTTTGAAACAAATCTGCCCCCTCCTAAACCTTTTTTCTCCCAAATAATTAATGTTTAGATTTTAAAACCATCAAAAACATGTCCAAATGCCTTTTGATTCAACTCTCTATAAAATTTTAATGACTGTGCTCCTGTTAACTAAATATTTGAAACAGAAAAATAACCAGTACTACATTTGCTTTTTTTTTTTAACCAATAAATAAGCAACTTTGTTGTCGTTCTTTTTTTTTTAACAAGAAAGAAATATAAACTTTGCACATCCAAAATACAATATACAACTTATTTCCAAAAGGACTTCCTGATGACAGAAACAGTAAAACCAGGTGATGAACTGAGGTTTTCCTACAGAGACCAGGTGATGTTGCTGGTTGCAGCTTTTTCTTCCAAACTCCACAATTCCCTGATGGATTCTCCTATTTGGAGTGTGAGGCGTGGGGCTCCACGGTTGGATTTCGGTCAGAGCCTGGTGGAATCAACATTTGGTGGTGGTGCTGCTGCAAAATTTGTTATTTTTAAGACTGACAAAGTGTAAATGTCCCCAAGACACCGAGTTGAATTTATGTTTTTGGGAAGGCTGATGGGGATAAGGCCAAGGAGGATTTTTAGACTTTAACCATATTTTATCCAGCTGAAATGGATTGTGTCCCCTTCCAAAAGAACAAAAAGGTTGTGAGGGCTGGGTGGTCAAAACCACGACAGCAGACGTGAACAATTATCTAGAAATGAAGTTGTATCAGTTTTCTGTAACGCAGGAAACGAGAGGTTCCCATAAAAAGGATTTGTTGTCAAACTTCACTCAGAAACCCAGCTGAACACAGAGCTGCAGTGGAACAGCAGCAAAGCTGATGAACAAACCACTCTGAGGTGTCCCAGCAGCTCCCTGCCCTGGCTCATGTGGAGTGGAGCTGGCTCTGTCTCTCAGTCTCAGCTTTCCTCTCCTGCCTGTGGGTCATGGCAGCCCAAAAAGTGATTTTTTTCAGCACTTCCTGCAGAAGTTTGGATGGCAAGCAGGGAATTTGGTTCTCCAAGAGAGCTGCGTTCTTCCCAATGTAGTCAAGACACAGCCTGAGGAACAGAAACAAAACAAAAAAAAAGAAGAAGAAAAAAATAATTGAACTGAATAGTTTATACTCTAACAAATGAAGCCTAATTAAAGCTGGTGATGTGCATTAATTACAGGTGTTAATTACAGGTGTTGTGGCTGCACGTGCAGGGAATGACACAGCAGCATCACACATTGAAGGGTTCAGGTATTTCCTGAGGAGGTAATTGGGTATTTCACCCAATTTCTGCAGGAGAGCGTGGCTAAAACAACACCTGGGACAGTGGGATTTGGGACTTAAGGTCCTTCCCAGCCTAAACCATTCTGGGATTCTGTAACTCCAACTCACCTGAGCAGGGAGTAAGGCTGAGTCTGAAATATCAACAAGTCACTGCACTTTTTATTCTGTCTGTCAAGAAATCAGGTGGGGATTCTTCAGTGGAATCAGTGGTGTGTAAATTATAATCCATTTATAATCTGTAGTGTGTAAATTATAATAATTTCCTCAGTGGTGTATAATTTGTAATGGTTTCAGGTACCAATTTGAGCAAATTGAGCCAAACTCAATATGGTTTTGCTTTTTTTTTTTTTCAATTAAAATCCTATATATAAAAATATATTTATTAATTGATTTCCTCAGAGGTTTTGGCCTCCCCATCTTTGGAAGTGTCCAAGGCCAGGCTGGATGATGCTTGGAGCACCTTGGGATAGTGGGAAGTGTCCTGCCCATGGCAGGGGTGAATTAAATGGACTTTAAGGTCCCTCCCAACTGAAACCATTCCATGATTTTATATCAATTACAATTATCCCAGTGATGGGATTTCTTCTCCAGTTTACTGACCGTGTCCATAAAAAGCAAATCATCTTTGCTGCCCCCAAACACCATCACTTCTCCCTCCTGCCCAAGGCAGGCTGTGTGCCACAACCTGGAAATCAAACCAGAAACACAATGAGTGCCTGAGAAACAAGGACTTGTGTGTTACCAGCAAGACCAAGATATTAATTCAGAGTTTAAAAAATAACACCTTCAAATATATTTGTTTATTTATATAAATACTTGTTTATTTAATAAAACAAAATAAGAGAGTAACGTGACTCCCCACTTCATAAGAGTTATTTTCATACAGACCAATATATTTTGTCATTATTTGACTTTTCTGTATTCTGGGCACATAAACTTTGTCTTACTTATCACCACAGTGGAAAATTTTTAAGCAACTCTACAAACCAAGCTTTTGCCAAGCTTTTCCTTTTGCAATTTTCCACTTTCTTTGGTTCAGGACAATTTTCTCATGGCTTTTAGCCTGGGGGTGGTTCTCAGTGTTGACACACTTGGATCTCCAGTTATCCTGTTCCAGTCTTACCCTTCCCCCAGAGATTCCTGGGATCACTTTCTGGGAGTCAATAACTTCCACCACACCAAGGAAGTTTTATGATAAAGACCCCACAAAAGCAAAGCCTGACTTTATAATCTTGCAGAAAGATCCTGCAGTGGGATTGATTTTTCATGATTAGATTTTTCTGCTCTAGCACCACTGCTGATGGACTTTAGAGCTGCTGAACCAAAACCAAAAGCACCACTTGAAGTTTCATGCAAAAACAAACATCCCCACTTTCTTTCTCCCTTCACATCAGTCCTTAGGAGGTACCACACCTTTTCTCTACCTCATACCTGTGGACAGATCTGTCTCTCCCTGATCTGCATTAGGGAAACTCTGGGCTTGGTCACGGAGAACACTGGGAAGCCTTTCCTGCCTGGGCTCTGGTGACATCCTAGCTCGCAACCTGAGGCTTTTCCTACTGCCTGAGAGTTTCTGTCCTCCCATGGGCTGCTCTAACTTATCACCTAAACATTCTAACAAAGCACGTTATTGAAATCACACAGTGCTCTTCCAGCTACAGCAACAGCATTACATGGGAATGAAAACATTGGGAATCCAGGAGTTAAAACAGTTTGTTCTCTATTTAAACCCAGCATGCAGAATTGGCTGAAGTGAAACTGATGGACAGAGAGAGGAGCAGTATTTTCTAACAATTCAGGATCACCTGAGAAGGCAGTTTTTTAGAAACTGCTAAAACTGGAGGTTGAAGGAAATTATTCTGTAGGAAATTTAGGGAGGGAATGGGAGTTGCAGAAGCATCAGGAAAAGACACTGATGAATTTTATTACAAAATAAGAAAAATATCTAAAAGAAGTACACATAGATGTATTACACTGCACTGCATTTTAAGAGCAATTGAACTGATTTAAAGCTTTTCCAGTTGCAGAGATCCTGCAGAAAATAAAATTATGGTACAAACACTTGACATTTAACCAGTTCAGTGTATGGACAGGCTTTTGGTGTGGCTCCTTTTATCCACCATTCCAGGAGCCATCCCCTTCCAACCCTAAGATTCTGTGAATTCCTGAAAAATTCAATGAGATTTTGGGTTCTGGTTGAAGTAGGGGAGGTCCTTTAGTTCTGTCAAGATTTAGGTCCAGGGAAGGTCCTCAGCCCTACAACCCAAATCCCAAAATCCCCTGGAAGTGCCTGGGAACCAGCTGGGGCTCAGGAATCCCTGAACCCCACAGCCAGAGCAGGGCACAGAGGTGATTCCAACTGAGCTGCTGTTCCCCAGTACATCCCAGCCCTTCCCCAGCCTTTTCCAGGAAAAATCCCATCACAGGGAAGGTTTAGGAGACTCAGGAGCTGAGCACAGACCCCTGGCTGCTCCTGCTGCGCTGTGTTTAAAGACTCTTCAGTCCTTAAATATCATGAAGAGATCACTGATTGTAAAACAAAAATACTTGGTGAGGCTGAGGTCAGAGTTTGTTTGGGATTGAAAGAGTTGGAAGGGTAAGAAGGCAGAAAAGTTGGTTTGGCTGTGGCTGTTGTTTTTAAAAGACAGCCCAGAACAGGCTAAAACAGGAAGAAAATTAATTAAGGTGATGATATTTCAGTAACAAGGCAGGGAGCAGAGCAGAACTGGACATTTTTGTATCAGAAAAAAAATGATATAAAATTGTGCTGGGAGTTCCTGGGTAAATGCAGGGAATTAATTCAATGAAAATCTGAATATTTATTATCTACAGCAAATCAGTTCAATATGTTTTAACATAGAAACACAGGTAATGTTTCAAACAATGGGTTAACAATCAATTTCACTTTTGAAGCCTGAAAGAGGCATCAACTTTTTCATGGTTCTCTCCTCCCCTGTTTCTAATACTGTATAAATATTAATGAACTTTTATTATTCTCCTTGGCTATTAATTCCTCCATTTTTTATGGTTTTGTTTATATAACAATAATTTGGCTACAGAGAACCAGATCACTGGTTGGACACTCAGATCCTTCACCACAAAAACATCTTCTCATCCAAATAAGCATCAAATACACAAATTAAAAATGAGGTATGAAGGCAAAAAAAAATGTGTTAAACTATTCAACCACACTGCATTAGTGTTCTGAAATACTCTTTAAGAATGCTGTTCAAGAATTTAAAAATTGATTCATTTTGAGAAATGATTGCATTTCAGCACCCATGATTTGTGTTTCTGTACCTGGGCCTGCTCTTGGGCAGATGGGTGAGCTGCTTCCATCCATTTGTTGCAATGCTGTGGATCCAACCATCACCTGCAATGGGAGAACACTCATTAAAGGGCTTTTTGGGACAAAAAACTATCTTTTGATTCACACAAATGGCTCTAAGAGCATGTTAATTTAGGCAGAAGTAACATCAGCACTTCATGAAGCTGCATCTTTTCACTCTTTTTCACTTAATGTTGTCCCAGAACCCTCACTGCACTGAAATTTGGAATTAAAACACATCTTAATCTCTTTCTTTTGGATAAATGGAGAAAATCATCTCATCCCAGTGGATTTATCTGTGAAATTATTACTTATCCTAAAATTATTTTTGCAAATTTCAGTTTTTTTCATGGAAACAAGCTGCTTTTTCTACAAAAGCCACTCCTACAGACGATCCCACAGCCTGTTTGTGTGATCTGAAATGCACAACAGAATTATAATTAATTCTATTACTCTGAATGACTTACTCAGAGGAACATTATCAGAGCTTATGAAAATAAATTTGGCAGAAAATTTCAGTTTGTCCTAGAAGCACCTTGGGTATTTTCCCAGTGAAAAAACAGATTGAATACCCAAAGAACTTCCATGTACATGTAGGGAAACAAAAACAGTTAACTGATATAAAATTGGATGAATCCTGAGAGGCTACAGGTTCTTCACTCCAGGGGAAATGATTTTAAATGACAAAAGGATTATGGCTCTACCTCTGATCCAAAAGCTATTTTCATTTTATGATTTTCAAATCATAAAATGCTCACCCAGGTTTTGAAATAAATATTAGTAAAGAGGGGATTTCCTAAGCACAAAACAGATGGAGGTTTATTATTGATAAAATCTCATATTCAAAAATAGAGATTTGAAATCTATTTTAGCTGAGCTGCATTGAAATTGATTTTATTTTAGTTGGGTTTGCTTGAGAATGTGAACAGTAAAGATCCTGATATCCCCAAAAAAAACAGTTTATCAGAGATAATTAAACAGGGATTGCAAAAGTGCCCTGCTAAATTTGGCACTCAAGGCCAAGTTGCAATATTTGTTTGAATCCAAGTCAAGAAAAGAGGCGTCTAAAATTGGCTAAGGGAAAGCCTGGGTTAAAAACCAAAAATCAAACAGATACTGATAATTGATAAAATTTCAATTTTCATGCATGAGAAATGATCCCAGTACAAGAAATAACCAAATATTGAATGACAATTTAATAGAGCTCAAGGCAGGGAAAGCAACCTCTGGGTAGGGGCAGCTGAAATGAATTTTGCAATCTCCTGCTGGATGATAATCCTGGGTTAGCAGGTTCATATTATGCAATTCTTTAAGAAAACTGTGTAGAGTTGAGTAAGAAAAAAAACTTGACTGGTTAGTAAATAAAATCATTTATTAATAAATCATTATTGGCTCCTTTTGTGATCAGATGAAATAAATACTGAATAAATACAAACACTTTATCTCCTGTGAGCTGCCTACAGCAGCAGACACTGTGAAAATTCCTTTTTTTCCCCTAATATCTTAAATATTTCTTTTAGTCTTAAATCTCTTTGCTCAATCTCTCAAAGACTCTTTGCAGAGGTGCTGCAAGAGCTGAACAGAAGATTCCCTAATTTACAGAGACCCAGCACATAAATATAGAAATATTTATATATATACTATACTAAATCATGGATAAGTCTTATGAACTATTCTTGGATCACAGTATAGAAATAACTTGAATTTTGGAAAAAAAACCCACTTCATTTTTTAAGGATTTCATGGTGTTTTGTAGAAGAGACCTTTTCCCAATTTGTGCTGTAATTAGCCCAACTACAGAGAGGAAATTCAGCATTCAAAAAGCCCTAAAACCTGGAATTCCATATGGATAAATGGTGTTAAATCACTCCACGCTGTGCTTTAAACAGCACCATCAATGCTCTGCTGCAGAGCAGGAAAAGCTCAGTAACCACTCTCAAATTCAATTCCATTGAAATCACAATCCAGCAGCTGTTACAAATCCCCAAACCCTCATTCTCCTCTGTGAAAAGCTGCAGGAATAGCTCTGGAACTATTTAGCAATATGTTTCCATCTTCTAAATTCAGTTTTAAGTGTTACAAAGGCAAACTTACCTTCCAGACCAAGTCCAAGTGTCTAAATTCAGGCAGTGCAAATCATTCATTCTGGTTTGCTAAAACAAAGAAATAAAATCCCACTCGGGTTATTTTAAGCAAACAATAAACAAAACATTTCAGTGAGGCCTTCCTGGGACAGAATATTCCAAGTACCAATGGTTTGAAGAAATCTGTACCCACGTGCCTTAATATAAATCTGAATTTTTGTGGCAGATGAAAAGCTTTTCTCCTCACAAAAACCATGCAACTCAGGAAAAGTGCCTGGCAGAAATATTTCCAGTCATGCAACAGCACTATGGGGCCAATTTTAGCTTCTAAAAGTGAAGAGCTTTGTGGTATTTATCCAGTTCCTGCAAATGTTTTTAACTTCCATCCACAGAACTCCTGGCAGGGGAATGCAGAAGGTGTTTTACTCTCCTACGGTTGCCTGGTGTTATTTTCCTTGACATGGGATCAGAAGTTTGTATCCTCCTGTCTGGTCACTACTCCTTGGAGTATCCTGGTAGTGCTGTACTCTGTATATTCCCAGAAAAAAGTCCTTCATTTGAGCTTTTCCCTCTTTTCCTTTCACAAAGTGACCACCAGCAAGGTTTTTGAACCCTTTAGCATTTGCCATAAAATAAAATGGGAGATCTTTCCACTTACTTATCTGCCTGGGATTTGAGATGAAGGAAGTCTGACTGCCTTGGGGGTGGTAGAAAAGATGATAAAAGGATTTCTTTGCTTGACTGGGAGCTGTGATTCCCCTGGGAACTACAAAAACCACCTGGGAAGTAGGGAAATGTTTCTTGCCTTACCTTCCAACTCCTTTTCTCCCTGGGAAGTCCATAGATCTATTAGCAAAAGCCTTTCTCCAGCTTGCAGATCCTCTGAGGCAGAACTAGGCTGAAAGGAGTGCTTGTACCCCTAGCAGTGAGGCTGAGGGACTTCCAGAGCTGTCCAGCAGAGCCCTGGGAAGTCTCTCAGGGATTTCAGGGAATAGCAAGGTTTTCAGGAATGCTACAACCTCCTCTGCCAAGCACTGCTAACCCTGCTGTCCTGGGAAGGGAATGGGAAGCAGCATTTGATAAAGACAAGCGGATTGTGAGGGTTTGGGGCATTGTCTGAGCCATTTTATCCCTCAAAAGTGATCAAAACCAACCAAGTGTGGTCCAGCTGACAGCCAGGGGAACAATCTGTCTTCCAGGACAATTCTATCCAGCTTCCTGCTCCTTCTGGTGGCTTTGAAGGGGGTGAGGGGAACAAATCACCCAAGCAGAATGCAAAATGCAGTTGGGATCTTCTGTACATTTGGGGCAAACCCAACATCCTGGCCTCTATAACTGAAAATATTCAATCATGTTGGAGTAATACAATTTAATATGAAGGGTATCTATCAAAGAAAGTTGTTGTTATGTTGAAAATTAAGGTTTCCAAAGGATCCTGTTCAAGACCTCCTCGCTGACTTTCCTTTCCTAGGCAGAAGATGGAGACGTTCTGTTTCCTGCTCCCTGGGAAATCAATGTGTTACAATCTTTGCATTCTCATGATTCAACAGCTGGACAAGTGAAAAATTACAGCAACCTCATTTTGAATTCAAAACACCACCAGCTGTCCAAGATCCAGGCCTTTAACAAATAAAAGCACCTTTCTACCCAACCCTTTTTTGGGAAGCTGGAACCATACAGGTTTACAGGACCATCACTCGCCACACAGCTCTCCTGCAGGTTCTGATGGATTTGTTTCCTGCTCTATTTCATCATTCTAATACTAATCCTAAAATGATTTTTAATTGGGTTAAGAGCACCAAGCCTCCTAAAAGGGCTGGCATCTCCCTTGGAGCTTCTCCTGAGACACTCTGCTTATCTCTGGCAAGTTCATTTCCTTGCAGCCCTGTGGTTAAGCAGGACCTGCTTTGTCTCAGGATTAGCACCATGAAAGGCTTTAAGGGTGACATTATTCCCAGCTCCCTGCTGGGACAGGGAATTCTGCAGCTTTTCCTCCTGAATTTACAAACAAAAGCTATTCCAGCTCCAAGCTTGGCCAAGAGAAGGATTGCAGCTCCATGGATCTTCTGAGCTTTGCTGACAGGAGGGGTGACAGGAAATACAAACATGCTTACATTAAGGCACCAGATGTGTGAGGAGCTGCTGCAAAGGCTTTGGTTCATTTACTTCATTCTCAACATGAAATTTTTCCACTTAAATCAAACATAAGACTCGCATCAACTTCTGGACTAACTCTCCTTCCTTCCCACTTTCTCCCATTTCTGTTTTTCCAGGGGCTTACCTGAAGGAACTGAGTCCACATAACACTTCTGAGCCTGTTTTCAAATGACTCCTGGTACAACTGATTCTCATCATCATCATCACCATCATCATCTTCTTTTACCAGTTCTAGCTCCAAGTTTGGAAAAAGGTGCCCTTTCCTCCCAGAAAGATGAATAGGAGAAGCCTCATGACACTTCCTGGCCCTTTCTGGTTCCTTGCAGAGCCTTTTCCCTGGGAAGATTTGTATTATGGTGAACTAGAAGGAGAAGGAGGAGCAGAGCAACCCCGTGTTTGCTCCTTAATTTCTGGAGAAAAGCAAAACTTCATCCTTTGGGGAGGAATTATTGCTGGTGTCAGGAAATTTAGTGGTTTTCTGCTGTCTTTAGCTTTTTCTTTTCATGACTTACATTAATTCCTCAAGCCCCACTGAATGTGCCCTCACCTTTTTTATGTTTCCTTCCATTTATTTCTAGGATAGAAAATGGATCAATAATAATCACCAAGGTGAAAATTACACTTGCTGCTCTCCTACAGAATTAAACACAGCTTTCCACAATCTCACTCTTCTCTGACACAGGTTCCCAAGTGGTTTCACTGAAATTTATCAAGCTTTTAAGGAAGCTGAAGAGAAAAACCTTTTGAGATCAGAATGCTGTAGTCAAACAGAGTTAAACAGAAGCCTGAGGGCAAATCCTCTGAGGGCAGTGGAGGAATGACAGGGGAGCTCCAGCTAAATCACAATTTCCTTGGCAGAGGCTGCACGAAACCCCAGCTGGAGCTACAGAGCACTTCAAGAGCACGGAGCCCTCACTGAGCCCTGGGGGAAGGAGGTTTTGGAGGTGTTCAGGAATAACTGGCAGGGCAGGACCAAATCATCCCAGGGACCTTCACATCTCCACTTTGGGGTTTTTCCCCTCTCAGCTCCCTGAGGGAGGAGCAGGACTTGGCTGTGGTCAGCAAGGGTTCAGTTGTGAGCACACAGGGCAGAGGCACAGGGCTCACTCAGGGCATGGATAACCCTGATTTTCCAATCTCTTCTAAAATCTCTTCATTTCCTTCAGTTATTTGCAAACCCAGTTTGTCCAAACCTACAGCTCTGGGAGGCGCTGAGTGCAGCTCTCTTGGGTTTGAGCAACAATTCCAGAGATCCTGAATCAAAGGTCACATAATGGCAAGAACAAACAGGATCAATTTTAATTATTTTCTTTTCTGTTTGCTCTGGAAAGGCACTTAAATAAAAACTTCCTGCAGGTGTGGGAGGCAATTGAGAATGGGAAGTGGGTGGACATGGTGTGGTCACTCTGCCCCTGCCTGGTCTGAGCAGCAGGAGTGGAAGGAGTGCAGATTTGCCAAAGGAATGTTCCAGCAGGAAAATCAGGGAATGGGGAACAAAGTGCAGCTTTACACTTCTTTGTTTGCCAGGATTTGGGAATAAAGGGGTGAGGCTGTGGCAGCTTTCCAAGGTGGAGCTGGAATATGTTCATTCCCAAACTAATTCCTTCTCTTTTTTAGACCAGAACTACAGGAACACAGCACTGGGAGCTCTCAGAAGCTTCTTCACTGTCACTTTTTGGAGACAGAAAACATCCAGGCTCATCCTCTAGCTGAGTAGGATTAAAGGTTCTAAATCAGCTGTAGTGAAAAGAGCTAAAAACTTCAATTAAAAATAAAACACAAGAGTGCACAGTCGCTGAAATGGGGAGGTTTTTAACTTGCCTTACAGGATCTGTTTCTTACATCAGTGCTTCAGCAGAGAGGAACTGAGTGGAAAATCTCCTTTAATTAGCACTGGAGAAATCCCAAGTGTTGCTGGGAGGTTTGAGTGTGGCTTCATGGATTTTAGGCACAGATAATCAGGGGGGTGGTGCCTATGGCTTTTTCAAGTTACAAAGAGTCAGGAAGAGTTAAAATTACACAGCCACAATCCAAACCTAAATTCTGTATTGCACAGATTGCATCCTTTTGTCTATCACCTCTTCCAGATATCTGTATTTCAGACACTTATGTTCAAAAAAATGGCAAAATTCAATCATAAAGCCAACTTAAATCTGTTATTTACCCTACAATCGTCTGTGTTTTACCTTTTTTGGGACAATCATGAACATTACAGACAGAAATATTCTTCTTTTTGTAGAGGGTGATGACAAGCAGCATCCTGAATTCAGAGCCCTGAACATCCAGGTTAGGCCAAAGACATTTGGGATTTTTTTTCCTACTACAAAATGACAAAAAAAAACCCAAAAAACCTGCCAGGAAAATAATGTGATTGCCAAGAAAATATTGAATTACCAGCACTCGTCCTCCAAAGATGTAACCTTTATTCCCCAGCACAGCACATGTGTGAGCTGCTCGAGGCTGAGGTGGATCTCCACCCTGAAAGAACCAAAATAATCCTTCAGAACTCCAGAAAATCTCCTGGACAGTTTTATTTTCTGACCTACAAATCATCAGGAACTGCTAAGAAAACCTCTGGAAATCACACCTTAAAAATCTGAGGTTATATCTACGTGCCAAAAAATCCTCCCTGGGTAAATCAGGATTAAAGGTGGCAAAACTGGCTTTTAATTTGCAATGGTCATTTTGGATTTTGCATTTGGTTTTATAGGGATTTTAGAGTATCTTGTAAAGACCATAAAATGCTGTCAGACACTCTTTAAAATACACAACTTCTGCTGAGTTCTCACACAAATTCACCTGGATTTTATGAACTTTAGAGAATATATTCATCTCAGTAAGGCAGATCTCTCCTGTTATCTGTGACAGGTTATCCATGTTAATTATACATGGATACAGTTTTCCAAAGGGCTCTGCTCTGGAGGCAGGCTGGGAAAACTGGGAATGTTCCCCTGGACAGGAGAAGGATCCTGGGAGAGCTCAGAGCCCCTTGCAGGGCCTGAAGGGGCTCCAGGAGAGCTGGAGAGGGACTGGGGACAAGGGATGGAGGGACAGGACACAGGGAATGGCTTCAAATTGGAAAAGGGGAGATTTAGGTTGGATACTGGGATGGAATTCCTGGCTGTGAGGGTGGGGAGGGGCTGGGATTAAATTCCCAGAGAAGCTGTGGCTGCCCCTGGATCCCTGGAAGTGCCCAAGGCCAGATTGGACATTGGGGCTGGAGCAGCCTGGGACAGTGGGAGGTGTCCCCAATTTCTAGAGCACAATAATTATTCCAAACTCATTAAAATCCCAGTTGTGTCAAGATGCGAGACTAAAAACCACTCACTCGAATTGTTGGTTGAGACCAAGTCTGTGTGGCTGTATCAAAAACATGAACATCATTGTGCCATCCCCAGAATATCTGTCCTTCCTAAAAAGAGAAGAAATTTTAAAAAAATTGTGTTTTATTTTAAAATTCTTTCTGCTTATTGAAGGATACAAACCTGCAAGGGACCTGTCCAAACAGAAAATACACAAAAACAGGCAAATTCATTAAAAGATGTGGTGATATTTTTAAGAATGCTGCAGCAGCTTGCATTCAGTTGAAGGTCAGCAGCACCCAGGGATGTTCAGGCTGGTGACACCTGAAAATTGGCTTTGGGCCCCAACAACAGACACTGCAGCAAATTTCACCTTCTAAATTTTACTGTAACACACTGAGAAATAAATAGATTGTAAAAAAACAATTATTGTGTGTCAGTCTTTAATATTTGATGTCAGGAGCTTCCTGTTAATACTCTGATCAGTCATCTTTCTATTAATTATAAGAAATTACTGTAGGAAAGTTGATTATCCAGGCATCTTTCTGGAGAATAAATTCAATAAATTAACTCAGAGTACTTGTCAGTTAGACTTGGGAAGCTCTGAATTCCCTAGGGTTACTTCAAATAAATAAATCATAATTTTTTAATGGGAGTTTCAGCTTTAAAATATGCTTTCAGATTAAAATCCTGCCTTTTTCCTGCTTTGACAGAATTTAATTCATTGCACTCCAAGCACGTGGAACATGTGGAAGAACCACCACTCCCAGCGTGCAATATCTGGAATTTCAAACCTTAAAAAGTTCCCAAATTTGCATTTCTGCTGATGCTATAAATAAAAAAGAAATCAGATTTTCATGCTCATCAAGGATGATAAAAAGGGTGGTTTTTTTTTCCAAATCAGAAAGCACAAATCAGTGGGAATGGGGACAAATCTCTTACCCAAAACGCATCGTGGACATCGAAACAATCATTGAGCTCATTGTGCTTCCTGCAGCCATAACCTCCAAAATAAATTAACCTGAAACAACAAAACCACTTCACTGAGCTGTTCTGGAAATAAGATTAAAATGAATAAGCTATAATAATGAATATTTTGGGTTACTGCTGCACTAGCAGTAATATAAACAATGAGAATATTTTGTGTTGCACTTGATGATGCAAACCCAAGCAAGGTGACGGTCACAGCCACACCCTCAACAAACCTGACTGAAACCCACACAAGGAAATTATTCAAGACATCTCAAAGTCTCTGTTCCTCTCTCCAGAAGTTTATTATTAGCTCTGTTTTCAGGCAAAATTAAGAAATAACAGCAAGGACAGTGAAATGCCTCCTTCCCTAGTGATGTTCCTGTGCTCCTGCTGTGTTTTTTGGCCTTCTGTGTCCAACTTCTGCCAAGAAATGTTTCCAAGGTTTGTCCCACAGGACACAAAAAGTCTCTTTTTGGTTTAAAATATATTTTTTCAACCAAGCACTGCTCAATCTCCCACTGCAAATCCTCACACACCTCCCAGCCCAACATTCCATCCAGGAAAGGGCCATTCATAAATCATCTTTTTTACACCAAAAAGTTCCATTCTATCATCTAAAATTAGGTGATTTTCTCAGTATGCAGATGACACAAAACCCTGAAAAATTGCATTTCATTTTGAATAGCCTTGTGTTAACAGCTAGGGAGTTGTTCAAATATCTGTATTTTCCTATCTCTTGCAGGTAAATTAGAATTACAAACCAAGATCTGGCACCCAGGGGCATTGCAGAGCTTATGCAAAACCTCTTTAGCTGTGGAGTCCAGAAAGAGATAAATCATTTCCTTCTGATAATATTCACCATCAATCACATTCTGACTTGTTTGCAACAGATTTAATAATAAAGCACTGACAGGGCACCTGCTTGTGATCACTTCTGCCTCATTATCCAGACATTTTCCATAATAAACACAAAATCTGGAGGATTTCTGTTTAGCCAAGTCTGTTTTTTAAACACACTTAGTCACTTTTCCAACACAAATGTCAGTCCTTGCAAGATAAAGATAATCACTGAAATGCCTTTGCAACTGCCAGCTGTTAAAATCCTTGGAAATATACTAAATGGATTCAATGCTTAAAATAATGAATACAAGAGAGAAAGAAATTTTTATACTGTTTTTAATGTGCTAAAATCATGTAAGAGATGCATAAAAGCTTTCTAAAGTAAAAAACATTCCATAAACTTTGCCTAAACACCTCATTCCTCTCCTGAAGTGGGGTTTTATTTACCATTAGTTCAGCTCACACGTGAGGAAACTCTGGTACAAAGTTGTTAAAAAATCCTGCAGCAAGTCAAGCTAAAAATCAGAGTTTCCTCCATCCCAAACCTGAATTCTCTTCACTTCTTAACACTTTCTCTCTGCAATCAACACAAATGAAATATTTTTCATGTGTTACCTGTTTTTGTACACCCAGCAGGAAAGTTTGTCACGAGGTGTGGGAGGTTGACCTTTAAAATTTGTGATTTTTTTCCACCTGTAGGTTCCGGTTTTTGTTCTCAAATTGACGTAATACAGCTTGAAAGGAGAACAAAAAAATTACAATGTTTTCAGCATGAAACACAAATCACCACCAGAAAAAAAAAACAACCCACCACCCCCAGAAGCCTGGAAGTTAAAGAGGAACTGGCAGTGAGTTTACAATGGCAAATACACCACAAAAACAAAGTTCAAGTGGAAGAATTGGCAGAAAGTTTCCCAAGAGGCTCCATTTCACTAATTTTCTAGTCAGGAGTCAACTCTGACTTTATTTATATTAAATGATAAAACAACTGATTTAATCTATTTTGTTAATTCTGTTTTCAGTTTCAAGGAAAGCTGGTAGCTCTGTTTTAACCTTAACTATTACCTGGTTATTTACAGCAGTGAATTGGCATCAAAGAACAAAAATAAAAGTGATGTTCAGAGATTAGTCTCAATTAAGGTTGTCAAAATACTTTTAAAAACCACTTGGGAAGGCACTTGCATAAATATAGAAATTTTAGAAAAAGAAAGCTTTTCCTCAAAATTCTCTTTCATTCATATACAAATACAGATAAACAGCAAGGGCAGTATTAGTACTTATTAAAACACAATGTTATGGGAAAATAAAAATATAACAATACCCGATTGCTGTATCCTTTATCATCAAATCCCCCAAAAATGTACAGCTTCCCATTGATGCTGGCCCCACAGCTGCCTGACATGGAGGTGGGTAACTCCCCTTCCATCAGGTGCATTGTCCTGCAATTTAAAAAAAAATACATTAGGCCACTTCAAATCTGCCCAAATGGAACAATCCCAAACAGATTTAGTCAAAATTTTTACATTTAAAAGGTGAAAATATGGTTTGGGCCATAACTAGGATTAGGAGCTACAGGTGAAGTTGGGCTCCTGTGGTGGAAGAGAACTTCCATGTAGATACTGTGTGTTTATGAAGTATCTTGATTTTGATCTTGAGGTGAAATTCACATTAGAAGAGCTTTAGTAGAGCTGAATCATTGATTATTTGAAAACTGGAAATACTATTAACTCCAGGAATTCCTGAAATGAGAATCTGGCATTGCTGGGATGTCAGAAATGGAAAACTGAGGCTCCTGCTGTGCCCTGCAGATGTGAAGCTCTGCTGAGACCTCAGCCAGGTCAGGAGCAGATCCTGGATAAATACAACCGGGAGAAAAAAGTTCTGTTTAACCCAGATCACTTTCCTGATCCCGGTTCCCTGGAGCACAAACTGCTGGGCTGGGACAGCAGGGAAACCAAGGGAGGGTGAAAGGGCTTTGGGCAACCTTGCCCTGCAGGAAAGGGGCAGAAAATCATGGTCTGTAGGGGGAAAGAAATGGGGAGAAAACAGGGAAAAGAGAGGGGGGAAAGGAGGAAAGTATGGGCCAAAAGAATGGGGTGAAAGGGAAGAAAGGGCAGGAGAGGAAAGGGGGAAAAGGAGGGAGGGGAGAGAGGCCTGAAAAAGAGGGCAAAGGAAAGGAAATGAAAAGGGAAGAAGGTTACAAAAAGTGGGGAAAGAAAGAAAGAAAGAAAGAAAAATGGGAGGAAAAAAGAAAGTGGAAGGAAAGAGAAAAAAGGGAAGTTCTGAGTTATTTTTGAGTTGCAATGTGTATGGAATTGATACCAAAAATAATAAATATATAACTGTAACTACATCAAGAGCCCAAGTAGCCGGTGTTTAACTGTTCTAACATGAAAGTTAATGTAAAAAAACTAAGCCAAAATAAACTGCCAAGTAAATGCACCTGTGTTAACAGAGCCTGGAGCAAATAATTTCCAACATTCCCTTGCACACAATAATTAGATTTCAGCAAGGATTGTGTTTCCTGGAGTTAATTTGCCAGCACAGGTCTGTCCTTCAATGTTTACATTAAACACCTGCTATTTAACATGACCAAGGTCCCTGAAGCCTTTTCCCTGCATATCAGTGACAAAAATCAGCTTTAGGTAATAACTCAATAGAAATGGTGCCACTTGCCATAGCCCACTGTCCATGTCATAGATCCAGAGCTCATCGCTGGGCAGATAAACTTCATTTTCTTCAATGCACTGAAAGGGGAATGTGCAAATGTTAAACCAGTTCTGCTTTTTGTGTTTGCACATGAAATGCCAAGCTATGTTACTTAGCAACACTGAAGGATCTTAAGGAAATCAGCCACCAGAGCAGAAGTCACACCCCAGTGTTACTGCTCTGATTATAAAACTCATTTATTTTAAAAATAAACAACTTCATTCCTCCTCAGGACCGCTCGATGAAGGCACAGATTGACCAACTTAACATTTTGCTAAAAAAAGATGTGTAACAACATCAACCAGATTTGAGCTCCTGAATTAAAACTCCTTCTAGATACTTTTAATCAGGAGCTGTTTCCATTGGCATAGAATGTAGAATAAAAAATTGAGAATTTAGAATGTAGAAATGTAGAAAAAAAAATATAGAAAATGGAGAAAATGTAGAATAAAAAAAATAGAATATAAGAAGCAGGCTGAAACCACAAAAAGTTACTTGCAGCTGTAACTTGAAAGATTAAGATGTCAAATTTAAAGGAGAAAATTAATTCTTCTGTGGAAAAAAGATTTATGAAGACTCCTGAACAGAGTGCATAAAGAAAGAAAAATAATTTAGGAAATAATGATGAGGAAAAACAACAAACTGAGAGGAAGCCCAAAAAAATGCAGTACTCATGCTGAGTAACAACTACAGCATTAATTACTGCCTTGGCACTAGAAAGAAATTAAAGCCTGGCAGTGAGTAAGCAGCCAGCGTCAGTAAATAAATAAAAACTGGCTCAAAATTAAATGAATGTGAAGAAATTAAATACAAAACTGAAATTTAATTAGTGACAACTCAGTTATTGATATTGATGACTTCAAAAGTTCTATGATGACTTTCTCACTCTGAAAGGTGCCAAACAGGCAGGTACATTGTATTTTTGGTACATTTATTCTGCCAGGTACCTCTGTTACAAACTCCTGGCATCTTCTGCAACGTGCACAAGTTGACTCAATTCAATCTGGATATGTCAGAGGTCAAACACTCGCTGCAGAACCAGCTCTGAGCAAACACACTGACGCCAAAAATAAAGTTTGTTGGGCAGGAGTCCACCAGCAACACGTGAAAAATGATTTATCTGTGTCAAGGGCTGCTTACAGAGCAACAATTTTCATCATGTTTTCAGCAGATAAATATGTAAAACTACTAAGAACACTTGCAAAGTTTATCTGCTAAACTTCATATAAGTTGTGTGTTTTGAATGTGCCACGAATGCACAATTTTTTATCAGAAAACCTTTGAAAATATTGTGCTCTTTAGTTCAACCTCAGTTTCAAAGACCAGAGCACAAAAACTACTAAAGATTACCAGTGATTTAGGGGATATTTAGTAATACAGAATATTATGGAGTTTAAAATCCAGGAGTCTCCCACTAGAGTTCTTTGAATGTGGAAGGACAAGCTTTGAACATTTTAAAGTTACCTCAGACCATGAAAAGCGTAGATAAATATGAAATATCTTTATAGAAATAACAGTTTCCACATGATCAAGACCAGGAATTACACCAAGCACGGGTATTTTCAATTTTATGGTACATGTGCACAGACAGACAAGATGAACAGATAAATATAAACAGAAAAATAACAGGTAAAACTAAGCGGATGCATTTAATGTAGTATCATTCTTAGCACTCCATAGAGTTAAAAGTCACAAGGACTTACTTATGACAGAACCAAAGTGTTCTTTTTATGAAAAACAAGTAAAAATAAATTAAAAAAAAAAAAAAGGTGGGTTTTAGCCTGCCACCAGCTTGTTATTGAGGTGACAGCAGAGCTTTCTACGGGAGGAAAACAGACTGTAAGCACCACACAACTACTAATAAATAAAAAAACGCAGGGACTCGGCAGCGAGAACATGAATTACACCCTGGAAAAACTGAGCTACAAATTACAGCCGTTGAGGCTTGAAAGGAGACGCGCTCTGCGCGCTGAGGAACGAAGGGCGCTGCAAAGGGACGGGAGCGAACCGGCTCCACCAGCCCTTCCCCACACGTGCTCCGTGACGGAGGCGGCTGCAAACGGGGCAGGAGGAGGGCGCTGATCGCGGGCTGCCCGCGCAGGGAAAGGGTGGCGGGATGAGGCGATCGGAGCCGTCCCCTCAGCGCCATCCCCGCCGTCCCCTCAGC